TCTGAAAATCTGAAACTGAAATGCTTCAAAATCCAAAACTTTCTGAGTGCCAACATGATGCTCAAAGGAAATGCTCACTGGAGCATTACATATTAGGGATTTTCAGATTTGGGATACTCAACTGGTAACCATAATGCGAAATTCCAAAATCTGAAAAAATTTGAAATCTAAGAGGCTTCTGGTCCTAAGCATTTGAGATAAGGATCTGCAACCTGTATATAGACATCCGAATTACTTTTTTATGTTGACTTCATATCCAGGAACTTCACTAAGTTCACGTTAATCCCAATATCCTTTCTGTAGATATTTTTTGGATTTTCTACCTATAGAATCTCATCATACATTAATAATGACAGAGTTATTTCTTCCTTTTCCATCTTAATGTTCTTAATTTCTTTTTTCTTGCCCTGTTGCCCTGGCAACAATGTTGAATAGAAGTGGTGAGACTCAGCATCCTTGTCTCATTCTTGACCTCATAGAGAAGTCGCTCGACAATTCACCGTTAAGTATAAAGTTTGCTGTGGGCTTCTTTGTAGATATTCTTTATCAGCTGAAGAAAGTTATTTTCTGTTCTTAGTTTGCTAAGAGTTTTTCTTAAAGTCATGAATAAATGTTGAATGTTATTAATCTAGTTATATAATCATACTGGTCATATGATTTTTCTCCTTTTATTCTGTTAGATGATAAATTCCTAGAAAGATGACCCTTGGTTAAGATGCATTATCCTTTTATACGCCACATGATTTTATTTGCTAGTATTTCACTTAGAAGCAGAACCATTAGGAGGAACTATAGAGTTGTAAATGATAGACATAATGTAGATATTGATTATATGCAACTGTGGGTGCTAAACAGTGTACTTTGGGATATTGTTTCTGTCCTGGTGCTGTAGCTGGAGTCTATAGTTTGCACAACAGAAGCTGAAGATAGATATCAAGTGGGAGGAAAAGGGCCGGTTGGAACCCGTGAGGGTGAAGGTGAACTGGAACCCGCATCGTTCTCTCACTGTGCCCAAGTCTCCAAACTCAATGATGGGGATGTTTTACAGCAAAAGCTGATGATTTGTTACAGAGGTAAGTGCACACCTGAACCTGGAGCCAGAAAAACTGAGGGAAGGTGCAGTGAAGCTGACATTGCTGTGGGCTAGGCTGCGGCACTACACCAGCCAGGGGAGCCAACCGATAAGTGGCATATAGGCTGGAATTTCCCTTTCCATGTTAATTTCAGTGCCTTCCCTGCATCTCAGAGGTTATTGTGACTATCAGTTTGGGATGTAGACTTCTAAATCATTATTTGCACTTTTACATACATATTATATGTAATTAGATATATAATACATATGTATATAATATAGACACATTACCTATATATTAAGTTAATATACAGATATATTATGTAATATATATTAATACATACTACATATTATTATATAATACATAATATAATATATTATTACTATAATACATTATTATATCGATTATATTATATACCATATAATTAATATTAATTATGAAACATTAATATAGTGTATTACATATTATATTAATTGTATAATATATAACATATATAATTATGTAATTATATATTATAACTAATATATTATATCTGTATATAATATACAGATGGATATATAAAATATATACATATATTCATATATGTGTATATATATATTTTATATGTAATGTGTGTATACACACACACACATAGTTCCAATAGAAAATACTCATTGTTTTAAGGCCGGGCGCGGTGGCACAAGCCTGTAATCCCAGCACTTTGGGAGGCCGAGGCGGGTGGATCACAAGGTCAAGAGATCGAGACCATCCTGGTCAATATGGTGAAACCCCGTCTCTACTAAAATACAAAAAATTAGCTGGGCATGGTGGCACGTGTCTGTAATCCCAGCTACTCAGGAGGCTGAGGCAGGAGAATTGCCTGAACCCAGGAGGCGGAGGTTGCGGTGAACTGAGATCGCGCCATTGCACTCCAGCCTGGGTAACAAGAGTCAAACTCCGTCTCAAAAAAACAAAAAGAAAAAAGAAAATACTCATTGTTTTATCTGTTTGATATTTCACATAGATGGTGTTTTTCTGCTTCTGGCATTCTTTCGGTTGATAATATGTTCTACTCCCACCCACTCTGAAGGGATGTTGATGAAGGCTGTGCCCCACTGGCCTTGGGAATACCCCAAGGACCAATGCTCATCAGGAGTCGGTTAACCTCTGTTTCTCCCAAGGCCCAGGCATACATTGCTGTCTATAAACCTGAAAAAGTACCCAGGCAGGACTGAGGCTCCTCTAGTTCTGCGTTTGTCTGATTCCCATAGTTTTAGGACTTACAGAGGGTCAGAGGTCAGAGGGCGTTTAAGGAACAACTCACGAGCTCCGCACTGAGTTCAATTTGGACCTTGGCCTTTGGACACCTGGGCTTCTGCCTTGGCTCTGTGACTGGACTGCCACTTCAGACCTTGCCCCCTTATTTCACTGAGTCCAAACCTCACCCCCTGGTGTGGGCTTCCTTAGCCTTCAAGACGGCAGCTTGGTCTTATCACCTCAGTGCCCTAGAGTCTGGAGATCCAGCTGTGCACCCTGCCACTAGGCTTTGTGCACTGGGCCTTGCTTCCTGCCAGAGTCTCCCCGCATTGCCCTCCCACAGGGCCCAGCTTGCTGTGCGGACTGACCCACTGCCGCCAGCCCAGGTGGGGAGTGTTGCTCCCCCTTTCCCCTGGAAGCTAGTCCTAACCCCTGTTTCCACCCATTCCTGAGGCAGATTGAAACCTAAGACCTCTGAATAAGTCTTCCAAGTTTCTGGTCAAGAGAGAAAAGATGAAGGACTTGCACTCACAGACACTTGGTCAGCTCCAATGATCCCGGACAAGCTCCCCGTTCCGTACTGAATGGAGAAGGATTGCCCCGGCTGGTTGTACGTGTTGGACTGGGAAGGCTGGAACCTGGTGTGCCTCTCTGGAAAAAAGCGCACTGCTCTTGCCTATGCCATTGGCTCACAGCTTGCATCCCTGCCCTGATGCCACCCAGCCCCAGGGCTTCAGGGTCTCCTATTTCAGCTCTCAGCACTGAGTGGGGGCCCCTAGAAGCCTGGCCATGCCCCGCCCTAATAAGCAACTACATTTCCCTCTAGCTACAGATGTGGCCTAATTGGGGACCAAATAGCTGTCCCTGGGCAAATCTGATTGTCCACAATGACCTCATGAGGCACACCAAGATAAGTGACATTTATCAGGCGCCAGCCACAGTCCCTGCCACCCATTGTGGGTCAGAGGTTGGCCTTCAAAAGAAACTCAGGGCTAAACGATTGCCCCAGGAAATTACTCCCAACTTTTCCCCCAACCCGTGGACATCTAGCCTTGGGGTTTCCAGAGACATTCTTTCTCTGGGACTTGTCCTGTATGGAACACGACATCTTTCTGTAGCTCTTCTTTTCCATCCTCACTGAAACCTCTGAGTTACCTCCGGCCAAATGATGGACCCACCCATGCCATTGTGCCCCAGCAGCCCCACCTCTGCACCAGGAGATAAGGCTACCAAGCCTCCTTGAAGCGAGCAGACTGTCTACACTAGAACCCAACTCACCTACCTGCTCAGAAAATAACCAAATGAATTAACCTGTCCCCTACATTCCTTTGGCTGTTCCAAGGGAAATGAGTCATTATGTCAAAGGTTTCTCTTTCCAATGGCTGAGTTTCTTTCTATTAATTCTGGTTAGTACGAAAGTTGCTATCTTGGACAGCAGCCACATTTTAGTTCTTCCTTGGCCTTGCTCTGCTATAAGCAGCTCCAGGGCAGACTCAAAGATGGAGAGGGGAAGCTGCTGTGACAGGGATGGCCACTTTCGGGAACCTAAGTCCCCCTTTCCCCGAATACTAGGCTTGGCCTCCCAGGACTGGCCCCCAGACGTTCTCTGCTGGGCTCCTGGCATCACTTACTGCAGGCTGGGCTGGTGCAGTACACAGAGGGCACCCAGAGGTTGGAGGAGCCAGTGTCGAAGATGACAGTGAAGTTCTGTGGTGGGGAGCCAATGGAGATAGTGCCAAAGTATTCCATCTGCAAGAAAGAGTGAGAAGGAAAGAGGGTGTGGATGGTGGGAAGAGACAAGGGTACTCACCAGGGCCAAGGGAAAGCTCCCTGGGACCTAGGAAGTGGCAAGGCTGGACAACAAAAGGTAAAAGGAGCAGAGAAATGGCCATGAGAGAGGAAATCAAACCAAGCCTCTGGCTACTTCATTTGATTTTACTTGCACTAACCTGATTTTTATAATTACATTGTAGGAGAGGCAGTGGAAGAAGAACCATCTTTGTCTTACAGACCAGGGAACTGGGGCTTAAGTTAAGTAACTTGCCTAAGGGTACACAGCCAGTAAGCCGCCCAGCTGAGAGTGGAACAGCATCATTTCACTGCCTTCAGTGTGGAATGATGCTTTCACCCTCAGCCCTTTCCTTCTGCAGAGAGCTCTGACATTTGGGTACATTGGGACCTGCTTAGCCAACCCTATGGGGACCCAAGGACTCAGTCCCCACAGATCATCCATCCAAGTAAAGAAATCTACAATGGCCTTCAGTGCTGCTGATGTGGCACTGGCCATGCCTGACGCTGGACCTTCCTCCCACTCCCATCTCTCCTAAGCCCTGACCCCAGGAGGCCTCACATCCAAGTAGTTGATGAGGGGTTCGTTGGCACTCTGGTCCGTTGAGCAGGACTCGGTGAACTGGATCATGTCCAAATTGTGGGACTTCCAGAACTCAGAGAGCTGGCTCCGTGCCCGCAGCTTCTTCTTGAGGGATGGATGCTTCCTGAGGGGCACCCTGGAGACAAAGCTCCATGTGATGAGGAATTGTGCTTCCGCCTCCCTCTTCCCCCTGTTCCCATCCCATTTTCTCAGAGGCCAGCTAGAGATGACAGAGGAGGGGCTCTGTAAGGCAGCACGCAGGGTGTGGGTGGGGTCAGCATCCTCTCTGCCACTCAGCCTGCCCAGCCTCATCTCTGCCCTGTAGAGTCTTAGAATCTTAGAGTAGAAATGGCTCCCTTCCTGGAGCGGAGCTCTTTGAGGTCTTCCTGGAAAATGGAGATGTAGGATGGTCTGCAGTTTTACGTGAACACCATGAAGGGCTGATTTAAAGGAACAGAAAACTCTTGGGGGCAGTAATGGTCAGTCCCTTGGGGAGGTACTTGGGCACTTTGAGCCACAAACCACAACTGCAGGTTCCTGCTCTTTAGCAACATGAGAAGCTCCCCGGGACTTGGGAAAGGCACCTCTGCGGAGTTGGAGGCAGGGGATGACTTGTTGAGGACTGGAGATTAAGGCCATACACAGGTGGCCGCTGGGTAAGCCTCTTCCATGCATTGATGCAAGCCCTCAGTTTCTCCTCCTCTTCGGCTCCCCATCCGCTCTCCTCTCCCAGAGCAGCCCTGAGCTGCAGGGCAGGGGACTACACAGCTTTGCACACAGTGCCGAGTGTTTGGTAGAAAAACCCACAGTCCTCCATTTTGTCCCTCACTTCCTGGAGTCCGCCTGCAGACCCTATTCTGCCTGGTAGCGCAGGGCGACCAATCACTGCTCAGCCTTAACCCGCCAAACCTAAAGCCAACCCCCATCCCCCACCCCTTGGCAGTTGCAGTAGTCTGCCTAGAAACAAGACAGCCAAGTAAAATTCAAACCTAAGCCCGCCAAGAGGTGACCAATCCCCTTCTGGCACGCAGAAAACCCTCCTCTGCTCTCCCTTCCACCAATCCCTCTGCAACACCTCACCTAAGCAGGCCCCCCTCCCTATAAAAACCCTCTCCGGCAGCTGCTGGGTGCAGCTCAGCTCCCCTCCTGCCTGGGTTGCCCGCAGATCCCAATAAACCTGGACTCGGCTTAACAACTCCTCGCTCTCATTTGCTTCGGGAAGGGTCTCTGCGGGTCGCACACCGAGGACATCTCCTCACCTGTGAAGTGATCCTTGGGCCTCTCCCAGGTCCAGGAGCACCAGCAGCAAAAGAAGGAGTGTTTTCATTGTGGGTCCGACCAGCAGCTTCTCCCTTGCCCCCTCCTTTCTTCTCTCCCTCAGGGCAGTGGGAACAGACTTTCCTTAACTCTCAGACCTGCCCAGCCCAGTCTGAGAACCCAATGATAAGGCTCTGGAGTCATTAGCCATGCCCAGAGTAAACACAGCATGTGGAACAGGGCGTTCCCCACTACCCCTCCATCCCTTTCCCACCAACGAGAGGAGTGTGGGTCTAGGGTAAGAACTTGGGGACCCATGCACTCTCTGTAGGTGAGAGGGTCCTCTGAGGCTTGGCTTCTCCCAGGGACTTGGCACCGCCCCTGACCCCAAGAAACCCTGTGTTAATGAATCCGGAGAGCAATGTATGCCTGGACCCTGGAAGCATCCCACTGAACTGTTAGTGCGAGGGATCTAGCTGGAGACTCAAGGGGTGGGAGCTGACTTCTGGGTGGCAGGATTCTAACTCAAAATACTAATCAGTCTTTTTTTTTTTTTTTTTTTTTTTTGGTGATTCCAGTTCTCTCGTCCTTCTCTCAAATGCTCCAAAGGCAGTTTACCCTTCCCTGCTCCACTTGGAAGCACAAACCAGCACTCCTCAAGAGTCCTGAAATGGGAAAATGTGGCCGCATATTCATGGAGCCCACTCTCCTGACCCCAAGGGCTTGATGAATCTGGGTCTGGGGCTCAGGAGTGTGTGGAGGAGAATTCACGGGCAGCTAGGGAGGATCAAGGGGGACAGCGTCTGGAGCAAGTGCCCACGTGAGTCTACTGTTGTTTTAGGGTGCCACAAACTGCACACATATAAGACAGAGAATTTAATATGTGTATTGTGTGTTCTGATTGCTCCATTGCTCTACTAATTGGTCATTCCCCCATCTCTCTCTGTCTCTCTCTTTCTTTGTCTCTCTCTCTCTTTCTCTCTCTCCTCAAGCCTTCCTACTGCCTGAGACACAACAATATTGAAATTAGGCCAATTAATAATTCTACAATGGCCTCTAAGTGTTCAAGTGAAAGGAAGAGTTTCATGTTTCTCACTTTAAATTAAAAGCTAGAGATGATTAAGCCTAGTGAAGAAGCAACGTTGAAAGCTAAGAAGCGTTGAAAGCTAGGTTTCTTATACTAAACAGTTACCCAGGTCATGAATACAAAGAAAAAGTTGTTGAAGGAAATAGAAGGTGATATTACAGTGAATACACAATTGATAAGAAAGCAAAATAGTTTTCTTGCTGATACGGGTGAAAGTGTTAGCAGTCTGGATAGAAGATCAAAGCAGTGACAACATTCCCTCAGGCTAAAGCCAAATCCAGAGCAAGGCCCTAATTTTCTTCAATTCTATGAAGACAGAGAGAGGTGAGGAAGAAAAGTTGGAAGCTAGCAGGGATTGGCTCATGACGGTTAAAGAAAGAAGCCATCTCCACAGAGATTGCTGCAAGGTGATTTCTGCAAGGTGAAGCAGAGTCATGAAGCAGAAGCTGCAGTAAGTTATCCAGAAGATCTAGCTACGATAATTGATGAAGGTGGCTACACTAAACAAGAGTTTTAATATAGACAGAATAGCCTTATACTGGAAGAATATACCATCTAGGACTTTCATACTGGAGAGACGTCAATGCCTGGCTTTAAAGCTTCAAAGAGCAGGCTGAATCTTTTGTTAGGAGATAGTGCAGCTGGTGATTTTCAGTTGAAGCCAATGCTCATCTGCCTATTCTGAAAATCCTAAGGCCCTAAAACGCTGTGCTAAATAGAGTCTGCCTGTCCTCTATCAGTGGAACAACAAAGCCTGGATGACAACACATAGGTTTACAGCATGGTTTACCGGATATTTTAAGCTTGCTGTTGACACCTACTGCTCAGAAAAAAAAAAAAAAAAAAAAAGAAATTCTTTTGAAAATATTACTGCTCGTTGACAACGCACCTCATTACCAAGAGCTCTGATGGAGATTTACAGGGAGATAAAGGGTGTTCTTGTGCCTGCTAACCCAGCATCCATCTTGCAGCCCACGGATCCAAGAGTAATTGCAACTTTCAAGTCTTATTATTTAAGAAATACATTTTGGAAGGCTATAGCCACCATAGATAGCAATTCCTCTGTTGGATCTAGGCTAAGTAAATGGAAATCTTCTGGAAAGAATTCACCATTCTAGCTGCCATTATGAATACTCATGATTCATGGGTGAAGGTCAAAACATCAAATTAAGAGGAGTTTGGAAGAAATTGATTCTAATCCTCGTGGATTACTTTGAGGGGTTTAAGACTTCAGTGGAGAAAGTAACAGTGGATGTGGCGGGAATAGCAAGAGAACTAAAAGTGGAGCCTGAAGATGTGATCATGAGCTGCCATCTCATGATCAAACTTGAACAAATGAGGAGCCGCTTCTTATGGATGAGCAAAGAACATGGTTTCTTGAGATGAAATCTCCTGGTGAAGACGCTGTGAACATGTGAAATGACAACGAAGGATCATGAATATTGCATTAACTTGGTTGACAGCAGTAGCAGAGCGTGAGAGGATTACTCCAGTTTTGAAAGAAGTTCTACTGTGGGTAAAATGCTATCAAACAGCATCATATGCTACAGAGAAATTTCCATGAGAGGAAGAGTCAACCCATGTGGCAAACGTCATTGTTTTCTTAGTTTAAGAAATTGTCAGCCAGGCACGGTGGCTCATACCTGTAATCCCAGCACTTTGGGAGGCTGAGCCAAGCAGATCACCTGAGGTCTGGAGTTCGAGACCAGTCTGACCATCATGAAGAAGCCCTGTCTCTACAAAAAATACAAAATTAGCCAGGCATGGAGGCATGGTGGCATGGAGAGAGAGAGAGAGAGAGAGAGAGTGAGAGAGAGAGAGAGAGAGACAGAGAGACAGAGAATGGGAGAGACCTTCAGGAATGTGGATTGGAGGCTGGCTAGATGCAGAGATTTTGCTGCCAGAACATTTGAAAGCTGGTGGTGGTGCCACTATCTAGTCAACTTCTTTCTGGAGCTTCCACTTCCAGAAAACAAATTAATAATAAGAGGACATTTGGGAGGCCAAGGGATCATTTGAGGTCAAGAGTTCAAGACCAGTCTGGCCAACATGGTGAAACCTCGTCTCTGCTAAAAATACAAAAATTAGCCGGGCATGGTGGCACACACTTGTAATCCCAGCTACTCGGGAGGCTGAAGTGGGAGAATCTCTTGAACCTGGGAGGCAGAGGTTGCAGTGAGCCCAGATTGCACCACTGGCCTCCAGCCTGAGAGGGTGACAGATGCCTCAAAATAATAATAATAAGAGGACAGTTGCTCAGTGCTCTGTGGCTCAGTTTTATCAGGACTTGATAGCTCCTAGGACAGAGTCTGTTACTGTCAGATACCAGCAGGCTCTTGCACACAGGGGGCTGGCACTCCGGGATGCACTCCAGGATGCCCAGCTCTGGCAACATTGCTGGTTCAGCCAAAGCTGACCAACTGGGATGTGTCCCAACCTCTTCTGCTTAAAGTTAGTAAATGAGGGAAAATCCACAATGCTGTCTGTGTGGTACAGTAGAATGATGTCTTTACCAGGTGAGATGAGATGAGACGCCTGGCTCCTGTCTTGGCTCTGCCACTAACTGACCATATGATGGCATATAAACCACTTCTCTCTGAATCTAGTTTTCTTGTCTATAAAATGAAGATGATTGATTGGGTGACAATATCAAGGAACACTTTGGAGGCATTAGCCCTGTGCCAGGCTCTGACCTAAGGAACTTAGAAGCATAAACTCATTCAAATCTCTCATGAATCCTATCAGGTAGGCACTGTTTTTAAGTCCATTTTACAGATGAGGTAACTGTGGCAGAGAAGGTTTAAGTAACTTGCATAAGGTGCTGAAACCAGTATTCAAATCCAGGTTTGCCTGACTTTGTTCTTAACTGTACCATTGTATTGGGTCATCTTTAGGATCTGACATTCTAAAAACTTCTTTCTGGAAGAGAAAGGCACAGAGGAGTGGGAGAGAGGAACAGGAGGGAGGGCAGAGAATAATTTCTTGTATGGTAAAACTTGGAGGCCTTTTCATTGTGAGAAGAAACGGGTGTGTGCAGGGTGGGGTGTGGAGGTGAGGAGCTGCATGATGACATATCTTCTCATTGCATATTTTGGCAAATTCTATTTTGCCTTCATGGAGCCTCTCAGCAAGAGTGTTTATTGTATTGCCGACAGGCGCAAATATCACACATGTACCTTTCTTCAACCCCCCCACGCTCCACATGTATTTCTGAAAAAATAAAATTGAAGGTGCTCAAACCATCTGTTTAATTGCCGAAAGAGAGCACCTGGTCCTAAACGCTTACTTTTTCCATGTGTCTTGTTTCCATGCAACTGGAAATAAGAGAAGCCAATGTCTCTTTAGTGTCTCTCCATGTCAAGGATTCAATGTGTGGGAGTCATTTCCAAAACTACCAGCAATTCTACCCCAGGAAAGTGCCTTTCAGACCAGAAATTGCTACAGCACAGTCAGCAGAGGGCGCAGGCATTGGGGAGGTTTCTCACTTGAATGAGAAACGTGTGTCTCTGTGGCGGGGGAGTATGTGTCTGTACCGTAAGCAGGAAGAGCAGCTCATGCCTCGGGTTTGCCATAAAGCAGGACTGCGCGCTAACACCATCCTCTTTGCTTGTTACCGAGCCCAGGCTCTGGAAGCAGACAATGCAAGTTCTGAATTCCTAATGCTCCCACTTAACGGATGATTGTGTGACGTTGGGGATGTTCTGGCGCTTCAGATTCCTTCGCTACTGAAAAGAAAGAATGATTTCCTTGCAGAATGATCTGAATATTCTGTGAGACCATCGTCAGGATGAGTGATCTCTATATATTACACAGCCCGGTGCTTGACACCAAGTAAGCCCTCCTTACGGGTAGCCTGGCCAGGTTCCACTTTATGCCAAGCACTGCTCTCAGTGCTTTAAATGTAATAGGAAATAGGCCCAGAGAGGGAAAGGAATTTGTCCAAGGCCACACAGCAGGTAATCAAAGAACTATGCATGCTGAAGCTCAGGAAGTCTCTCTATAAAGTCTGTAATCTTGGCTGGGCGAGGTGGCTCACATCTGCAATCCCAGCGCTTTGGGAGGCTGAGGCAGGTGGATTGCTTGAGTTCAGGAGTTGGAAACCAGCCTGGCCAACATGGCAAAACTCTGTCTACTAAAAACACAAAAATTAACCCGGCATAGTGTCATGCACCTGTAGTCCCAGCTACTCAGGAGGCCGAGGTATGAGAGTTGCTTGAACCTGGGAGGCGGAGGTTGCAGTGAGGTGAGATTGCGCCGCTGCACTCCAGCTGGGCAACAGAACAAGACTGTGTCTCAAAAGAATCTGCGATCTTCAACAGAACTCTCAGCTGCCAAGTATAGTATATATAGATGTTACTGTGTATATTAACAGACTGATGTCCATTCTGAAGGTCATTCACCCTGATGTGTATTTAATCGTTCAGGACGGTCGTTGAAGCTTCCATCTGTCTTCACTTCTTACTCTGTGCTCAGGGACTCAGCGACCGAAAGCGTACAAAATAACTTTGGGAGGCCGAGGCGGGTGGATCACGAGGTCGAGAGATCGAGACCATCCCGGTCAACATAGTGAAACCTCGTCTCTACTAAAAATACAAAAAATTAGCTGGGCATGGTGGCACGTGCCTGTAATCCCAGCTACTCGGGAGGCTGAGGCAGGAGAATTGCCTGAACCCAGGAGGCGGAGGTTGCGGTGAGCCGAGATCACGCCATTGCACTCCAGCCTGGGTAACAAG